GGTAAGCCTACGCCTTCACTCAATTTATCCACTTATTTTCATTTCGTCTCTTCGAATGAGACATCTCAAGGACAAAGCTCTCAAATTCAAGTAGCGACCACTTACACAACCACGAGGGACTCATAAAAAAAATACATATAAATGTATGAAAAATATCTTCTATACCCTTACAGCTTGTATTTTTTGTTAAAGGTCAAATGATAGCGAACAGTTAATTTAAAAAGGGAATAACATTTATTTTTTTCGAAACTAGTAACAGCGCACTTCAAATTTTCTGCTAAATATATACATACATATATACATCCAATATCTAATATTTCTATGATTCTCATAGCTCAAAGAATGGCTATACAATTATTTAGTTACTCTTTAAGAGTTCCATATACTTTTTCATTATATAATTTTTCATCGTCTTCTTTCTATATTTACTATACTCTTGTAAAGGCTTGCAAACTGTAGTCAAAATGATACTTGCGGATATGAATTGGTATGCTAATGTAAATTAGTGTGACCACTTGACTTGTTATTAATTAAAAACAGCTAAACACTCACGTGTATTCGTCCGGTAGCGGCACCGACTAGTTTTGAGTCTATCGGGGACCCTTCACCAGGGAAGTTTATTATAATGTCTCACGAAAGTTTGAATAATTCTTCTATGACTTAAGACCATGTAAGGTTTCTTCGAATACTAAAGATTTGTTTTTGCATATCTTACTAATAATATGCGCATGTTCAGATAGATGGATGGATGTTTGTTCGAACGTATCTCCGAACGACGGCATGAATCTCAATGCAATTTTGAATAGAAATAGTGTTGTAGAGAACCAAGTTTTATTTTTAATTCCGCGCGAATGGAATTGTGGGTAAAACCTAGTTAAGGTATAAATTTCAAAATGATATGTTCTGTTCTAATACCGTATTTCGTTGTAATTCATGTTTGGTACATGTGTTGCAGAATCCTATCACTATCAATTGTTTTATCAGAGTACGAGGCAGCTTGTGATTGTCTGAATTAGCATACAGCTCCCGGCTCCGGCGAGAATTGTGTGAAATGTTCCCGCGTTTTACTCCTAAATTAACGTCGTACAATCAGCAATGAAAGTTGATTAGAAAGATTTTTTTTTCTTAATAATATTTTTTTGTAATATTTAGAATATTAAAATGCAGGTTAAATTAAACATTTTTGTATTCATACTTATTACCGTATGTTTCCTTTACCGAATAACTAGTACAAATTATGTAAAAGAAATCTTTATAGATCTATAAAATTTTACATATTCTTGGGACGTGCCTTCTCTTAATCTAGGTGTTAAATAGGTACTTATTTATGCAGTATGAGTGTGTGTGTGTGCGTGTGTGTGTTTGTGTGTGTGTGTGTGTGTGCGTATTCATCAGTTTTATTCCATTTGCAAAAAAAACTATCTTTGATTTATCATTGTAGATATGTTTTGCTAACGCTACACGATGTATTGCAGGACGCTTGGCACAGAGCACTTGAATGGCACAGTTTCCGATCCCAGTTCAAAGTTGTAACTAGTTCAAGCATACCTGGATCTCTGGAGCACCTACCTGTGGATGAAATTAATGAGGAGTGAATTCAGTGCTAACTACACCACTAAACTTTGCATTTAACTTTGATTTTAACATCTGTGTATGTAATAATAAATAAATTATTGGACACTAACATGTAGATACAGTTATACAGTTTGATTTTGATGTTCTCATTAGACTTGAAGGTGCAGTGCGACAAATTTATTTGGCTCCGTGACCATAATAGATTATAAAATGTCATACCATTTTAACTCTACTATCTTTTTCTTTTCTGTAGAAACTAGTATGCTCTGTTTATATCATCTGTTTTTTTTTTTAATAAATAAAAGTGCGATTCTGTAAATAACACGAGGCTCTTTAATTGTACTTATTAGACAGCGGAGTACAGTGCCATTAAACAAGCGAGCAAAATAAATGCGCTGTTCATGTAACTTTTTATGTGCAAAACTGCAATTTATGTATCGCTTACAAAATTATTTCTTTGTCATTAATTCATTTAACGCGAACAATTAGTTGTTTTCGGAGTGAATTGCGAATGCATTTGTTATGTTGTATTTATATTTCATTAGTTTAGTGCAGATAATACTTAATAACTCTAAACTAAAGCGACTTAGTAGCTTACAGTGTCGGTGGCTCAGGGGTTAAGCGCTGACTTACAATCAGGGCTTTGGTTCGAAACCCGCGATGTTCCATTGTTTTTTTTCGATTATATATGTACATTTATCTGACGTTCTTGAGGCGAAGGAAAACATCGTGATGCAACCTGCACATATCTGCGAAGAAATTCAAAGATATGTGTGAAGTCAACCAATCCGCACTGGGCCAGCGTAGTTGACTATGGCCTAGTCACCCCTAATCTATGGAAGGCTCCGAGCCCTTCGGTAGGGACACATAATAAGCTAGCGATGAAAGAAACTTAGAGTTCGCTTAATAACCCTAAGTGCGGATGTAAAAATACTCTCTTAAAATATTTCTAAGCAAAGGCAATTCAAATCGCTTATTATTACTGTAGTCTAATAGGGTAAGTTATTTCGTAACCTATTCACAATCGACAAATACCTTATACCTTATCTTTACATTGTAGGTGTACAGGTATATAAACATGTCTATGCAAGCTATCACAACCATAAACGTAGAGTACATAGCGCCGACCAGCAAACAACCGAAAGCTCTATCTCGTCGGAAGATTTTGTGAGCTTAACTTGACGTCGGGGATTAACTGCACTTCCCTGAAAATTACTTCAACATGCAAACTCTACGAACGACGTGACTTTTTTAAATTAGTTTGACAGGAATAAAAACATGGCACTTGATGGATTTCTGTAATAACTTTTTATGAAACAATAAAATAGGTACTAGCAGTTTTTATATAAATGTACATAAAGGTAAATGAGTTTTTTTTTATTTGAATTACTTTATTCATCTAACTTTTGATTTATAAAAAGTATTTTCAAACTAAACTATGTACAATGAAATAATCCTTTCCTATCGGTTTTAAGAAAATACGCGAGAATAACATGGTTGATTACAGATTAAATTAATCAATTTTTAGCTCTAAACCTATCAGGATCTTACAGGATTAAAGATGTGTGAACGTGATAATTGGAATTTCCCAGTGTTTCACATTAAAAGACAACGGTAGTTGCTTTACTAAAGAAATTTTAAATTCCATTAGCTCGTAATAAAATTCCCCCTTAAGGTTCTTAATAACAGTCACTTGTACAGAATACTAGTTTCACACGAGGGCAGAAAAGTGAGGCAGAGTAGTAGACAGTGCAGTACTATTATTTGAATGCAAGCCAGAACAGTTGGTACTGTTTTGACAGTAAGTGTGTGTTCCTGTTCTACCTCACTATTCTTTCCTCGTGTGAAACTAGCGTAAGACCATCCTTGTAGGTAACAACATTAATTTGTGCTGTATCACTACAACTCTATTATTCAGTGCCACTTTAAACATTAAGCCACATTAAAATGACACGTTAGAATAACATCAATTTGTCATTTTATATACCCGCATCTTATGCAACTATAAATTATCGTTTACTTTTATTATTGAAGTAGCTGTAGCCCACGACTCCGTTCGCGCAAAATTAAAAAAAAAGTCAATTAGTAGAGTATGTGTTCCTTCAGACTATGTTCTACATTTATGCCAAATTTCAGCGTGATCCATGCAGCTGTTCTAAAGATACCTTTAAACAAACATTCGTCCATCCAAACATTCGTATTTATATTAGTTATATTATATCCAGTACAGTTTTGTCAAAAACATAGAGTTAAAACTCTTGGACGCTTGCTTAGTTACCTAACATGGTGATCATCTTATAGTACCCTTAAGAAAGTTAAGTCGTTCTATCCATTGTTATCTAGAACATTCCAGAACATTTTGAATACGAGTACATTGTTAATATTATTAAATTCCACGATTAAACTTTTTTGTGCGTTCATTGCCATTTATGTTTTAAAAAAATGAAAGAAATAAATACATTGCTTCATAACTATACATACGGTAAGTATATATACTCGTAGAGACTTTTCATTAGCGATAGCTCGTATCGTAAAGGTAAATTTTGCGCAATCAGCATACCTCGCCGTGCTGTGAACTAAATTTAAACTAGATCGATACAGATTATTCTCCACATCGGCTGCACTCGCAATGCAGACATTTTATTAATAGAACCCAGAGCTTAATAGCTATTCCAATCTTGCACAAATGGGCTCGTGTATTAACCATCAACTATTCACTCGTGCGTTTTGCGCGCTTCGCAATTGCATGTTTCAAATGACATTTCATTAATGATGATTATGTCATTTGTGGCCAGTCTTAAATAACTTTCGAAAAGGTTTAAATTGAAATAGGAAAAAAATATGATTGTAATTTGAAATCAATGAATTCTGATTCGAAGTAATAGAGATGTTAAAACGCCTTTAAAATTACGTAACTAATTGGGTAACAATGTACATATTTGAATATGCTTGAATATGCTTAACCGTTTTAACGGCTTTAATATTTGACTTACGTCAGTCAAAAGTTCTCCTAATTTTTTTTTTAGATTATGCCGATTATTCTTATTGCTTGTACCATAACTATAGGCCTTAGTATTCGTCTTTTTTCTGTACTATATACTAAAATTTTATGTTATAGTATTAAAAATAATTATTTATTTAGATTACGTAAAAATAAATTGCAACCGATCAAATCCTAAGTTCAACGTATCACATATAATAAAAATATTGTTACTGACCGTTTAAATTTGTCAGTATTATCCTTTTACGTAATCGGATACTTCCTTATTGATGTTAAAGCTCGATCGTTCTCTGGGCAAATGTTCGCCGGGGTTGATTTGCCCTCGCGAAAGCACCCCCACCCCGCCTCGCCCGCCGGCCCACGTCTAGACCGGGAGACAGACTCGTGTTAGTTGCCTTCCAGCCTCTGAGAGGGTAGGACGTAACGCTGTTTTGTCGTATGGCGCGAAATTTGAATGTTTGAAATACGAATGTGACTTTTGAATACATTTTCAATCAAGTGTTACCTTGTGTGCAATTTGTGACGTTATCGTTGGAGTTTGTTTGTCGTTTCTGGGATGTTTTAATCACGTAAGTATTTATTATAATGTAAATAGTGAATTTTCGATTAAAATTAATGTAATTTAGGTGCTTGAGCAACTTTTAGCACTAAACTTTGTGCAACTTCTATCTTTTTGATTCTTCAGTGAAATATTTAGGCACTAAAATAAATGTTACATCTTTCTATGTATAACTTATATTAAAAAAGTAACTATATGGTTAATTTCCATAATAGTATAATGTACAAATATACACATTGAAATAGCAACCAAACTCATTTTGTGACCACCTCTCGTAAATAGGATTGGCGACGGGACATCATAAGAGCGTTTTTAAGTGCAGACCTATTGTAAAAAAATATGTCCAAAAGGGATGTCAAAACGTACTTAAGGGGGAAAGAATATTTCTTGAAGACATTTTGCAAGGCTCTCAAAAGTTGGAGAGGAGAAAAAAACGACTTCCGGTCGAACCGACCGCCACTTATCCGCGCCGGGGAGCGAAGCCATGAATTAGCAAAAATACACACCGCCTGAAAAGAAATCCAAATGATTAACTGTTATTTTGCTTAAACTATGACGTTTATTGCTTGAAATTCCTTTACGTTCGGGCTTTTAATAAATAAAGCTTTCACAATCCTAACCTAAATCAAAAGAGAGGAGATTAAAATAATCTGAAAGTCAGTTTGTTCGCTGTTGCCAATATTTATCCGGTTGAATTTTAGATGCTGGTGTTCATTAAGATTAACCTAATTTCTCCGCAATATATTATTAAAGGTAGATAGCCTAATCAGCCTTTTAATACCATAATATCTGGGTTAGTTAATAAAGTTTCGTGACTGTTAATTTTGCAATTGTTAAGTAGGTTTTTGTCTGGAATACAACACCTGTACATAGCATAATTGTATTTTAAAACAAATAATATTATAGAATTACTATCTAGATTCAATTCGCACGGGATTAAAAATAATATAGTAGCTGATTCTCAGAGCTACTGAATATGTGTATAAAATTTCATAAAAATCAGTCAAGACATTACTCAGGAGTATGGTTACTAATATTGTGATACGTCAACTTTATATATAAGATAAGCTGTCGCCCGCGACTCCGTCCGCGCGGAATTAAAAAAACTATTGGTCGCAGCATAATGTTATATGTTATATGTTAGCCTAAAGCCTTCCTCTATAAATGGACTATGCAACAAAAGAAGAATTTTTCAAATCGGACCAGTAGTTCCTGAGATTAGCGCGTTTAAATAAAAAAACTGTTCCGCTTTCTAATATTAGTATACATCTAATAGTTACATGAGCCAACAATATATAGGTCTATGATATATTATTGATATCGAAGGCCTCGTCAATATAATGTCATCGAGCAGTAAATAATTTATCGAATGGTTTTGTTGTAAATATTATATCACTTGATGTGTATTAAATAAAGTTAATGGAGGTCCATTGAATCGCTGAATACTGTCGTTAATAAGTAACGAGCGCCGGTATTGTTCAAAAAACATTGTTTGCTTTTTTATTTAACGTGTGGATGATAAAATTTTACCGTACAATTTGGCGTTCATTGCGGTCGATATAGCTGAATAAGGCTTTGTTTTCTAATACGCATGCATATGTGTAATGGTTATGGTTAATGGTTATTCAATTGTAGTTATCTATTTCAGTTGCCTCTATATTTCGGCGGCTTCTACATAATAAATTGAATCCCAAAATTTTGTTATTTGAACAAAATTTTATGTTTTAGTATAACTTTCAAATTTCTTAGTTTTTACTATAATAACAATCTTAAGCGATTAAGCTGTTTGAGCTCGCAGTAGCCATTGATGACAGTCCTGTGATCATGGCGCATGCAAGTGTGCCGAAATATCGGGAGCTCAAACAGCTTAATCGTGGTAAGAATCCCGTTTCTTACTAACGCTTTATGTTTTTTTAATTTGATAATACTGTTAAGTACCAACCATTGGTTTATTAATATCCGTTTTGATGATAATATTCGAAACTCTATTAAAATAACTATGGTCAAAAATAAAAAAGTTTAAAAATAAATTAATTCCTTATTAACTTTCAAGCTTACGTTTATGAACTTACAATTCCGATGTCGGTACACAAATCTTCTTTTAATTGCTGTACCCTCGCCCGCTAAAGTAAAAAGCCGGAAACGTTACAAATAGAAACATTAGTTCTTGTAACCGTGTTATCCGATACATTCAGATGGAGTTGCGTTTACTTACTCATTGACAGATAAAAAAATATATATGAACACGCATATAACTTATTAGTTTTTAACAAATGACGGCTCAAATTCTAATGAATAAAAATGTTAATCGGGCTTAAATTATTTTCTATTCAAATAAACATTAAATATAATTTTAGTTATGTACTAAAATAGTACTTTAGTACTTTCATAGATTTTCTACAACATAAATATGTCGCCGAAACTCAGTAAAATTACTTTCCATATTATAAATCGAAACTGTAAAGCATCGGATAAAGTTATATGTCGGAGCATTTTAATTTGATAAATTAAATCTTAATCTTTGTTCCTAATTAATTTTGTTATATCTTGTTGGAGAGCGTGAGTCTAAAGGATGTCATGTTCTTATTCCAAAGATTAAAATAATCCTATTTGAACAAAAATGTGCACTAGAATCTAAATACCTTTAACATGACAATGCGAGATCAAATGTACAGAGCACAATGCACACAGAGTAGATATATTACAATGTATTCTATTGAGATACTGGAATATTTTGTATGAGACAACAGTTAATACATCTGATCTTGTCACCTTACCCATTGGTGTCACAGAGGTCATCGGTAAACCGAACGGATGCATCCCATCTCGTACCTTTATTGGTAGACGTTTAACATACAATGCTTATTATATAAACATGTATGCCCATATTTATAACAAGATTATTTGGGGCATTAGTTCCTGTTTTCTTCAAAATGTTTGCAAAATTCATAATCAAAAAACGATCATCTTAAGTCATTTCTGAATTTTATAATGCTACTAGCTGTCGGCAACGAATCCGTTTGCGCGGAATTAAAAAAATATATTAAGTAGCCTATATGTTCTTTCAGACTATGCTCTACGGTATGCCAAATTTCATTAAAATCCATTCAGCTGCTCTGGAGATATCTTCAAACAAAAATCCATCCATTCAAACATTCGCATTTATAATGCTAGTAAGATTTCTTTAGACTTACATATATACTCGTAAAAGGTTGTGTCTAGATTTAAACGATCTGTGAATATAATTAGTGGTTTTTATGTTAAGGATTTTTAGTAACGCATAAATTATACTTCTTTAGGATAAGCTGACTGTTATTTTATTATAATAAAAGTTTACGTTAATACAGCATTCAAAAAACTACTTATTATGCTGCAACCAGTTTGTATCCATGTTTGGAATAATAGTCGCACGTAGATTTCGTAACCTGTTTTTTTCTGTTTATCTAAAAAATGATCTTTATATTTTCTGTGTTATCACAACATGTAAGCCACGATCCTTACAACGGCATCAAAATGCGTCTACAAACAAAACTCCAAAGTAATTCAATCTATTTCAAAACTGACTTCAAAGTAAATTGATCAATTTAAGGTATCAATCTCCAATTCAATGAGGTCAAGTAATTATTCCTTAACTTCGCTATCAGCCCCTTTTCCTAAAAGCCTATCCTTGTAACCCAGATAAGGCGAAGATATCTTTTGACCTCGGTTTATCTTTCCTCAGGATAAGAGAAACAATGAATTTTAATTCTGAGTGCAACATGACTGTTGAAGATCGTAAATATTAGCTTATCCAATGTTATTTCCAATGTGGGTGATGTTTTAACAACGTACAGTCGCGAACAACTACAAAGGTTTGTAGAAATAAAAAAAAAACAAATTGTAGCAAGCTATTTATCTCTTTAAGACCATTAAGTCGGTAGACTTTTATAATCTCCCTCTTCTGATATTACATGCAAAGAGAAGAGAGAAGAAGATAACATTTAGTCAATGTTAGTGTCAGTTTTAATGTTGACTTATTCTTAAAAAAACGTTTATCGATTGAAAAAGTAAACATTAGTCCTGCATTTAACAAAAAAAAAGTGTTGACAAAATGTATTCATTGCTTAATATCATACGATACATGAATACGTAACTATGACAATGAAAAAATAACGTCCATGTTACAATTTAAATTCTTTTGGTCTCTAAGTCCATTGTGGCGTTGATTGTACACAACGATATCTCAACACTAATATGTCTATAAATTGAATTAAAACTTTCTAACTTAATGGGTGCTTTAGACAACAAAGTTATACAAATTGCTGTTTCTAATCGAATAAACGTTAAAATAATTGGTTGGGAGTAATTAAAATTAACCACTATCCCTGCTTAGAACAGTTTAATGTTTATTATTCAGCGGCACTTCGTCGACACTTGCTTGTTTACTGATGGGACTTATCACTTAGTAAACTTAATTTCAGTAAACTGCAACTTAAGGAGTCCTTGTATGTTTAAGATAAGGTTATTAAAATTATAAAGTTTTATTATACTTGACTAGTATACCAAATGAGTGGGAATTTTTTTAACAATTTTACACTAAAATTTCGTTCATTCTTAATCTATATAAGAACTTAAATCGTTTTGTCTGATCAGATTTACGCCCAGTCTACACTTTTCTACACCGTGCTGGATTAGATCGCTGGACTGTAATAAAGTAAACAGTCCATTAGCTCAAAAATTATTGTACCCATTTCATGAATTCTTTGACTCATAGATAGCTGTGAAACATCGAGTGACCTATTGTTGCTATTTATGTATAGAATACATACATATATATACCTAATATACATATAACAAATTTTCGAATTAATCATACAGATGGCCTACGTTATTAGCCCTAGGTTCATAAATTAAAAGTTACATATATACGAAGCTATGACTCAAGAATTACTTTCTCATCTACATAACTAAATAACTAAGACCCGCTGTTCCAGAGTATCATCTCTAAGTTATTTATCCGCGTGACATCGA